GGCCTTCAGAAATGTACTGAACAGAAAAAGGATGTAGGTGAGCCATGAGAGTTTTCAGGCATGTAAAATAGTGGTTTTCAAGGTTGCCATTGTCTGAGGAGCATAAGGGGTGGGACACCTTACGCCCAGGGTTTTGGAGCGTCTACCTCCATTGGGATGCGTGGGATTTCCACTAGATACGTATCAAGGGGACCAAGACATCTCCAAGTTGTTCATAGCAGACAACAGTCCACCCTCTCTGAAGGGGGACAGCAATCATAAATTATTTCCAACTGATGCTTTTCTCTGCATACCTGGAGTTGCTTGGTTTCAGGGACCATAGGCAGCATGGATACGTTGGCAAGGGATATGGGGTAGCAGAGTCCCTGAAGAGTATATGCGCTGGTAGAAGGCCCTAATGAAAACACCTCTATTCTACAAATCTGAGCTTCTAGCAAGAGCTGTTTCACTCATAGGGGTGGTTATACTCTCCCACTGCATCTCCATTCACTCTGGTATTCCTTTGCCCAAGACACTAAAAGCTCTCATTTAGTGATGTTCAGAGGAATAGCAAACACAGAGAGTGCATGGGACAGGGGGGCTCCCCAGGAGTGGGAGAAGCACCGTTCGACTTGCCTCCCAAGATGCACTATACGGTGCAGCATTGCACTGCCTGAGTCCTGCGGCTGGACAGGAGCAGTGAAGGGCTTCCCCCACCACAACAAAGGCTTGTGGGGAAGGAGGGGGAGGGAGAAAGGGGATGGAAGAAGATCCCCTCATCCCCACTGCCAGGAGTCTTTGCAGCCACGGGATCATAATGGAGATGGGAATGACAGAAACAAGTGTTGCAGACAACGAGCAAGGAGCACAGATCCACACAGGAGACTATATTTTGGTGCTTGTCACTCTCACAGTGCATTGCACAAAGCAGTTGACTGTGGGTTTCCACCACAGGGATCGCATAAGGGTAAAATTACGTCACGTAAGAATTTTTTGGTATAAAAAGGGTCATTGCATAAAAGCGAATTTGCACATACAGAATATGCATAAAGCCAGGGAAACCTGTTCTGCCCAAGTGCAGTGGGTAGCTGTTATAGTGAATAATTGTTGACAGCACAGCCAGCTCTGTACCAGGCCTGCTCTGAGCATCACTAACAGTTGACTCCCCTCAGCCCTCCTTCACTCCCAGCTGCTGAGGGAAAAGGCCTAAGTCCTGTTTTGTCCCCATTTCCTTCTCAGCAGTCAGGGCTATCCCCGTCTTGCATTTGGCATGTGTTGGAGTTTAAGTTATGCTAGGCCATAGTTATGCTATGTCATAGTAAAGACACTGCAAAGGGCCTTGGGACTAACAGGCCTTACTGACCACTGGATGACCTGATAAAAGATGCAAAAATGAGGGGTAAATGGTCATTTAAAGTCAGGAATAGCAGCTGAACAAGTGAGGAGAAAAAGTAAGGAGAAAAAGAGGTCAGCTGTACTGACCAGGAGTAAGATGAAGGCACCTAGATTAAGCAGGGAATGAGCTAGGAAAGCCATAAATCAGCAGGGAGTGATCTCTAGCCGGGATGCCTGAACTTGGAAGTGGGGAGCTGAACGTGGCAAGGAATGAGTTGCAGGTGTCTGGACCTGGCAAAGATGCAAGAAAAAAGGTCCAAGTCTGCAGAGGGAGAGAGAGATAGGAGTTGGCATGGAGTGGGGACATTCTGGCTATAAATATTGGATGTGAGAGACACACTTTTGTAGCAATTTAAGGTGTGTCTCTACCCATACTGCATCACTTACCACTGTCTGGAAAGTTTTGCTAAGCCAGGCTAACTCCTGTGCAAACCCACTGACTACTGCCCTGAAAGACAATAAAGCTTTCTGAGCACTCATCACTAAATATGAATTTGAGATGGTCTCTCTGTGTTGCACCCGAGGTCCAGGAGGCTGGTTATAGGCAGATCCTTCTGCGAGCACCCCGACCCAAGCAGCCTGAATACCAAGAGCAACAGCAGGTGGGTGCTTGGTGGGGAAACCTCCCAAATCCCTGAGCACCTCAAACAACATCATGTTTTTTGTGTGTTGGATGTATTGAGCTTGAGGTCAGAGGGAAGCAGTGGACATATTTTCTACTCTTTAGGGGGACCCATGCCCAGATGGGTAGGACTAGAGTGGTCAGACCAATTCC